GGCTCAGTCACTCTAATACAAAGTCTTCTGGGGTTTTGTTCTACGTTACAGGAAGAATTGTACATGTATGTATGAATTGCAGATAGAGAAGAAGATGTTTAATTTCAGTAGAGAAACTAATTAAAGAACATAACCAGAAACAGTTCAAGCTATCTTATATGCCTGGTCTTACTTCTGCCAAGCTTCCTGACTTTTTAGTATGTAAAAATACAAATTAAATCCAAATCATCTTTATTAATAGATAAACATTAATTTTAGGTAGGTGTATATCAGCATAAATTTAAATGTTTAAATATTATGATATTGATTCATTATCAGATCGGATTGAGATAGATCCATATTTGATCCACCAGTTATATATGAATGGTTCAAATTTCAATGACCTTAATCAGATCGGGTTTGAATTTGAATTGGGACAAATGGACATCAATTTATAGCCATAGCTCTAACTTTTCTGTGACAAATGGTTCAGTTTGGAATTAGAATTCTGTTCTAATGTTTTCAAACCCAGGCCCTCTTAAGTATGGCCCGGCATGTTGGGCATTCAAATAGAGGGGAACCCATTGACCCCTCTAGCAGGGTGCATTCTGAAGTTTGGACTGAACATTAGACAAATCTGAGTCATGTGATTTAGATTCAGAAAAAGAAAAAGGAAAAGGAAAAGGAAAAAAAAAATTGTAGATACATATTGATAGGTCCCAGTCAAAGCTAAAGAGATAGAGTATTCTGGTTAGGGTGAGAATAAGACCACAAGAGTTTATTAACTTCCAACTGCCCCATCCATATGGTGGGGTGGTGTTTAAATACAAAAACTTCTAACTTCCTACCACTGAGATAGCCTCAAAGTAAGGGATTAGCCTTCTAACTACATGGCCGATCCTATGCCTTCTCATACTAACAACTTAACAGAAATAACAACTAACTTATTTGGCCAATTCTTATGCTTAAGACCAGCTAACAATCAACAACTAACTTCTTGACCGATTCCTGCTCTACTGGGCCGTTGCATGGGCCATGCACGATGGGCTGGTTTTGCATGGGCTACGCATGAAGGTTTTCAGTCACGTACTTTGGGTTGGGCATAGGTGTTGGATTTTAATCTCATAAGAGATTAAATCCAATGGGTTTGATTGGTCAATTACATGAGAAATTGCACCTACACACTTGATTTAAAAATCTGTTTTTCTCTTACAAAAACCTGGTTTTGAACTTGTCCCACATTGGATAATTATATGGTATGTTTTAAGTATTTCAATAGGAGCTGATTTATACTCCTTAGAATTAGTAGAGGAGAGTATGGGGATTCGATACCGCGCAACGCGCGCACACGTGTGCGCGCGTGTGTGCGGCGCAATGAGGCACTTGAGAGGCGCACTTTGCTCACACCCGTGTGGCTCGCGATGCACGACTCTGGTTTTGGTGCGTTGATGACCGTCGATCACCGTTGATGAGATCAACGGTCACGATTCGATTGGGTGTGATCAAGAGGCACAATTCAAAGTTAATAGTCACCAACTGTTAACAACTTTTTAAACAGTCACAATGTTTGGAATTGTGGCTGTTCAAGGTGCCTTCTCTAAACCAGCACCTACCTTTTCCTCATACCTCTTCACAAATTATTTAAGGAGCATGAATCAGACTCCAAAACACACAATTTCGAAATTCACTCTCTCTCTCTCTCAGTCCGGTCTGCTATAGTCTCACAAAAGGTTTCTCTAGAGACTCTTCAACTTTGCTGGTTGCAGATTCTCGCCCAAGGCTCTGTTGTATCCTGGGAACGAATTTGCCTGTAACCCAACAGCAAACTCAGTAAAACTGAGTGGGGGCAAATAACGTTCTAAAGACAGTGTCTTCAGGCACGCCTCAGAGCTTCTCCTCCAAAGTTACAATGACCCCTTCTTCCCCAACAGTAGGTACCCTGTTCGACCTTCGTGGCCCATCACATATTTCAAGCGAGTGATTCTGTGTGAGTTAATCCTAGAGGAGTTCATTCGATAAAAAATCTTGCTTGAGCTTTCCTTTTTTATTTTTTTTCGTGGCAGGCATATGTCAACATAGGAAAAGGAACATTAAGTTACAAGTTATAACTCAATAATTTGTCAATTGAAGTTATCTGATGTTGTTAGTTTTGTAATTTAGGTGGCTGATCGAAAAAAAGTTGTATAATCTAGGTTTCTATTGTCTTTGCATTATCACATCCATTCTGAGCGAGGAAATTCACCAAATAGCATTACTCATATGACATTTGACTTTTCAAATACCTTTAAACTAGTCTCACTGTTTCAATGATTGGACATGGTTCATCTGAATGATGTATTAAAAATATTTATGAGCTCCATTTGGGGAAGTTTTTTCTAAGAAAATTTCCAATTCCTTTATTATTATTCTCCTTATGATTTGTTTTTAAGTTTTAATTCTTGTTTGTTGATGTTTTTTGGTCTGCTACCCTAATATAATTTTCTTGAATATGGTACTTGAATGTTTCAAAAGTCTTGAACCCTGAATCTCTGGCATGATACTGAGTCCGTAATTGCACAACTAAAGTTCTGCAGCTTCTGAAAGTACTACTGATTATAATTGACATGGCAATCAAATCTCAAAATGCAGAAAAGTTAAATTGACATCATGTATAACTTAAAAGAGAAAGGGAGACTGACTTGAAGAATTTATATAGTGTGTTGTGGGGTGTGTCTAAATATGAAGCCCAAATTAGGGGTGTAAGTTGGTCTTCTGACTTGAAGAATTTATATAGCATTGGGCTTGGTTGGACGAGCCGAGGCCCATTCAAATTTTAACAAATGCTCAACCCAAGCCCACCCAAGTTGCAGCTCTGGCCTCAAATGAATGGTGGGAGGACCAAATATTCGCAAGGAAACCTTCAAAGTTCAAACCCAATCAACCTGCCTAATCCAAAGCTCTGAGCAACTTCTGTTAGGTGTAACAAGGCTGGTCTCGCATTGATTAAATTGAGTCTGGATCTCAGGGATGAGCCTCAATTAACCCTAAACCTGGTTCAACCTGCCTAAATTGCAATCTTATTCTCTTTCTGACTTCACAAACTCAGATCCAGAATTTTCTGGGGATCAAGATGATCAGATTATGGCTGTAAATGTGTTGTTCCTGGTCTGAGGCACTGCAGGAATTCTGAAGTAAATCAAGCCAAAGGCCTTAGCCAAATGTAATTTAAATGAATAAATTTAGGTCTGAGATGCTAATGGCAGCCCAGAGCTTACACCCTTACACCAGATCAGATTGCCTAAAGCTTCCAAATAAGGACAAACCCAGTACTGGAAGGACAGAACAGCTCCGCACTAACTGCCATGAGGAAAAGATCAAAAGGTGAGTTATTTTTTTTTTAGAGTGTGGGAGATTAGTCCTCCAACATTGAAAGAGGATTGCAGAAGCGCACCCACCAGCTCATCCTGTCTCAAGACACCCACAAAAAAATTACATACTTTCATCGGACATACTTTGGCTTCATCAGTTTAAAAGGAATGATAATATCTCACTTCCCTTGACAGAACTGATAAAAATAAATCTTCTTTTCTGTAGTAAACACTCCTCAGTGTTGGCTTAACTGTATACAGAATAAGAAAATGGTTATTTTGGACTCCTTTTCCTTGCAATTTTTCTCTATTTTTTCTTGTATGGCTTTCCTGGCTTCCCATTTATCTAAACAAAGGATTCTACTCCTCATGTTACAATGATAAGTATTTAGGAACAAAGGATTTGAGAAAGATCTAATAGTGATGTGATGTGTTTAGTTAAGGACAAAGAACAATTTGAAGGGTTACATGGGGATGCCCATTTTTGATGAATCCATCTAATTGTAGGCCTGTCGATGACCCAGTTGTTTGGATGGTCACTTGGCATCCATTGAAAAGAGGAAGCACAGGATCAAACCCACATAACCACAGGCTCTCCATGGTAAGATCAGTGGACCTCCTTATACACCCTGCTCTGACCCAATGGAATTGTAGGGTGGATTGGTTTTGTTTAGACCTGTTCATGGGTCGGGTGGCCCGACGGGCCGGTCCGGCCCGGCTCGACTCCCGGACGGGCTTGAACAGGCTTTTTGGCCCACGGGCTTAACCTCGGGCCAAAAAGCCCAGCCCGCATAAAATTTGAGCCGGGCTCGGGCTTTGCCAAAATAGTCCGGCCCGACCTATTGTTAAACCTAAGTAAACCTGGCCTGACCTATAGTTAAACCTAAGTAAAAACCCTATGTGATGTCCATTTGAATAAATTTTTTGATTTGAGAAGGTTGTTGATTCACTTGTAGGCCCATTGTTCATTTAAATAGGGGAAAAAAACATCTGAATTAAAATAGATAATGTCTATTTGAATAGGGACAATTTTGAATTTTCTTTATTAGGTCGGGCTTCGGGCTCGGGCTCGGGCTTCGGGCTTTTTATCAGGGCCGGGCTTGGGCCCAAGTTGTAGGCCCGTTGGTTGGGCCGGGCTCGGGCTTGGGCCTAACATTTTTCTGTTAATAAAGAGTCAAAGCCCGGCCTGAGCCCGGCCCGGCCCGGCCCGGCCCATGAACAGGTCTAGTTTTGTTCCTTGTAAAGGTAATTGATTCTGTGTATTGTGCACGGCTTCTATTGTCATCATCATAGAATAGTGTATTTTATTCTCTCTCAAATATATTATTCTTTTCTTGTATTTCCAAGTTTTGCAACTGAAGTTTCAGTTTCAGAACAATTTGATATGTTAAAGTGGAAATAACAAAGAGATGTTTAAAAGGCACCTCAAAAATAGTGTTCCAAAGCCTTAACCCATCCCCTTCTCCTATGACCATGAGAATTGCTTGACAAGTGGTTGATTTTCCAAAATATCACATGCTCTGCAGCTATAAATCATGATGCAATAATATTTGATCAGTCTGGGCAAATCCAATGGGTGTCGATGACTGCTTGACTACATCATGCAGAATTAAGTCAAATATATATATATATATGTGCTAAATTCAGATAAGTGAGGTGGTGTTATTGATCGAAAAAGGAAAAGTGAGATGGTGCTGGATGGATGACACTGTAGAGATTTCTTCCTCCTCTTCTTCATTGATGTTGTCTACGGAATTGGGTCCAGCTCATTGATCTCCTCCTTCCATTGTTTCAGGGTCCAGCGGTATTAAAGCAGGCTTCAGGTATATGTCAGTCTCTGTTACTAGGAAGCCTTTTATGTGTTTACTTGCAAATGAAATTTAGGGAGGTGAAAAGACTAACTTCTTATCTGAATATTCTTATCTAAAATAAAGTCTAGATGTTAGGTTTCTGGTTTCTTATTTCAGGGTTCTTTCATGGATTAATTTTGATATATCCATATAAGATTGTGACGTTAGCCCGATAACATCCATTATCTTATTTATTTTCAGGATTTTGTCTCCAACAACTTACATATTCTTTGCTTCTGCTATCCCAGTTATGTCATTTGGTGAACAGTTGGACAGGAATACAGGTAACACTGATAAATTATACTGTGGTTCGAATTCTGTTTTCTAGTTAGGTTGGTAATGTCATGAAGTCCAGCTAGAGTTTCAAATGGTATTGATAAGATTTCCTTTGCATTGCAAGCTATTAATAGAAGCATTTCGTTCTGTTTTCTAGAAAGCATTTCTGTTTTCTAGATGGGATTCTAACAACAGTTCAGACATTGGCATCTACTGCTTTGTGTGGGATTATACACTATTATTGGAGGTCAGCCTTTGCTGATTCTTGAAGTGGCAGAACCTACTGTGCTTATGTACACGTTCATGTTTAACTTTTCCAAAGACAGACCTGATTTGGGACCAAAACTCTTCCTATCATGGACTGGATGGTAAGATATTTTTCTGCCTCTGCCTCTGTTTTGCACATTAATATATGTATTGAAATATTACTTTTTGATTTCTTTGTAGTAGAACTTACATGATCTTTTGACATGGTATGTGTATGAACTGCAATCTTACTGTTCTTGCTGGCTATTTTAGGAGCTTGTTCTATTATCAATAGGTTTGCCTGATTGGCAGGGGAACTGTTTGGCCTGCTAATTGCAATGCTCTTCATGCAGCAAGCTATTAAAGTAAGATTATAGTGCTTAGTTTTTTTAATYGATTATTTTTCTTGGGTTAATGTAAAATTAAAAAAAGATAAAGGAATACATAGAGACTGTGCATTTTGTCATAAATGATCAATTGGATGCAACTTGGTAGATTGATTCCAATTTCAACTCATGTGTTRGATTTTTAGGGCATTGTGGATGAGTTTCGCATACCCCAAAGAGAAAATCCAARCTTAATGGAGTTTTTACCTTCATGGAGGTTTGCAAATGGGATGTTTGCTTTAGTTTTGTCATTTGGCCTCTGCTTACTGCACTGAGAAGTCGGAAAGCACAATCGTGGCGATATGGATCTGGTAAGCATGTTTTTGGATTTAGTTTATGCTTGCTCTGACTTGTTCTAGAGCAACTTTAGCAATACTTGTTCTTAATTAACTGAAAGAAAGAGGCATCTTGTCCATCCATTCCAGCAATAAGTCAAGGTTCTTAACAAAATTGTGAATTAGAACTGGTGGTCCTCCTCTTGCAGACATGTTTTTATCCACTTTACAGAAAATCTGAAACTAAATCTTTTGCAGGCTCACTACGAGGCTTCATAGCAGACTATGGTGTGCCATTGATGGTTCTAGTGTGGACTGTTGTTTCCTACATATCATCTAGTAGTGTTCTTAACACAATTGCAGGCTCACTCTTGCATTTCCTGATGTTTTTTTTTTTTTTAATGTTGATAAAGGAACAATTTGTTCTTGTTTTTATTGCTTGCTGTTTTTTTCTTGATTTTCTATTTGTGCAGACCATACAGATCTTAGTCCATTAGAAAGAACTAGTACTGATAATTTATTCTTAAAATTGACAGGAGATGCTAGATGTGCCCATTCTCTATATAGTTGGAGCTTTTATTCCAGCAACAATGATTGCAGTTCTTTACTATTTTGACCAGAGTGTAGCATCTCAGCTTGCTCAGCAGAAAGAGTTCAATTTGAGAAAACCACCGTCTTTCCATTATGATTTACTTCTCTTGGGTTTCCTGGTAGGCAAACCTTCTTTCACCCTTTTCTTTATCCAATTACTGAAATCTTTTACTTAATTATTTTTACTTTGATCCATAGTACATATTAACCCTTGTAGTAGACCTCTAAATTCTTCTGTTCAAATTTCAGGTCATATTGTGTGGTCTTCTTGGTATACCACCATCAAATGGTGTCATCCCACAGTCTCCAATGCATACAAAGAGTTTGGCTACTCTTAAGCACCAAGTAAGGCATCCCAAAGCACTGTTTTTTTTTTTTTTTTAATTTATCAGTAGTCACTCTAAACTGTTCTATGAGACTCAACCATCATGGTGCAAGAGCATACCTACTCCTGGTAGCAGAACCATCAGCTGAACTAAGGTATTGTATGTTGAGCTATGAGGTTCTTGGTTCATTTCAATCACACTTTCCTTCTATACCCCATCTTGTCAAGGAAAATTAGGAATATGTGTGGTTTGAGATGTATTTTAATAAATCGTTGTTCTAAGTGGACCTGGTTAAAGTTCTATTTTTGTTAGACTCAATGCTTTTATTTTTCCACTACCAACAACTACATTTTTCAATTCTAACAAGGACTGCTTACCCTGCAGTTTCTACATAACCGGCTTGTAGCCACAGCTCGCAAAAGCATGAGTAAGAACTCAAGCTTGGGACAATTATATGGAAATATGCAAGAGGCCTACCAACAGATGCAGACTCCATTGATCTATCAGGAGGCTTCAGTTYGAGTATGATATCTAATGTCTAGAATTTGAATTACAAAACATAAAAAAATCTACTTTCTTCTCTCTATCTAGAGTGGGGAAAACTAGCACCCTTGACCTGGCTAGGTCAAATCACTTTATTAGGTTCACCAAAAACTCCATTTATGGGCCATGTTCTCCTTAGATCAACTGGTATTCGTCAATGTTCACTGGAAGTTCTGATTGGTCAAAGTTCTTCCATTATCATATCATTCTGAATCATAGAAGGTTCCTTACTTTCAAATATATTAATCATTTTGGTTATTATGCAATTGTGGCTCTGGCTATCTAGAAAATTGAGAACCAATCAACTGATATTCGACAATGTTCACTTGCAGATCAAATCCGGGCTGCCAAAAGCAAAAGATTAGAATGTGTAGCAGTCACAAACTCTTTGGTTCATGTTATATCTTCTTCAAGTTCTGGGAATTCTATAAGAGGATCAGGGATGGTTCCTACACTATTACCTCTACTACAGGATGTAAATGTTACTCATATGCACCTTGTATGTTCTGTAAAAACTCTACAAAAGCTCATGGATTACAGTAATGCAGTTGTTTCCCTGTTCAAAGATCTTGGTGGTGCGGAACTCCTATCTCAGAGATTACAAACAGAAGTGCATAGGGTCATAGGTCTGAGTGGTGCAGATGACAATTCTATGGTTAGTTGTGATCTCTCAAGATATGATGATGATCAGTTGTACTCCCAGAAGCGGCTCATCAAGGCTTTACTGAAGGCACTTGGGTCTGCTACTTATGCTCCTGGATCATGCTGGACTATTCCAATCCATGACTGGAATGCTTCGAGTCTTGGACCTGGATCAGGCTGATGCACCTAAGGTTGTTACTAGAATTGTCAAGGCTCTTGAGTCAGTAACAAGGAACATGTCAACTCTGCTGGTCTTAATTCTGGGAAGGGTGAGCACCCTCGGAAGCCATCTGATCAAAACCCAGCCAGAAGAGTAGATAATGGTGATGATCAATTACAAGTACATGACCAAACTATCTTGTAATTCTGAACTAATCCACTCCAATGCATATATAAATTTACTTTTGTACATGACCAAGGAGAAAATCTCCCCAATACAAACATCAATCAATAAATTCTTTTTCATATTTATTAATAAAAAATTTTCGGGGTGAATTGTGATCTTGATCAAACTATCTTGTAATTGATGTTTTTTTTTTATATTTTTTGTATTTTATTTCGGTATAAATGAATATAGAGAAAACAGGTAGTTTGAAAAAATTAGAAAAAAAATATATACTTTTACACTGCCGCTAAAGAAGCTCAAGGCTGCTGCTAAAAATATACTTTTAGTGGCAGCCGAATTAGAATTAGCAGCAGTCGCGACTGCCGCTAATAGCCTTTTTAGTGGCAGTTGAGCATTTATACCGGCAGCCGTTATAACTGCCGCTAGAACGTTTTAGCGACAGTTCTTTTAGCGGCAGTTTTCCGACTGCCGGTAAAATCTCTAGCGGCAGTTTTAGGGACTTTTAGCGGCAGTTTTGACTGCCACAATATTCAACGGTAGTTGAGAGTTTCACCACATGAAGGATCACAAGTAACATAATATTCAACCACAATAAGGATCTYCAAATCAACACAAACACTTGTGAGTTCAATTAAGTTATTATGAAACCTTTTAGGTGCAGTAGAACTATTGAGTTTCTATTGAACTGGATACTTGAGATCAATGGCTGAACATGTGGTCTTTGTGAACCTTTCATACTAAATCTAAGTAAATATACTATGCTGATGTTTGGTACCATGGCTGTTTCTACTTGAAATGCTGCAACACCAGCATCACCTAGGCATTTTGAATTTAAATATCAATTTATGTTTGGTTRATACTGTTTTGAGTTACAACAGTGATAAAACATTTCTACTAGAAACATAAACTTAGGGCTGTTGGGGGAAACACTGATGTTTCCTCCATCAGCTGACCATTTGAAGAAACAGTCCAATGACCTAGCTCTTAGGTGGCATCCTAAGTGGCAGTGTGGAAATATATTATGGTGCATCACATACTAGAAAAGATGGATATATACCATCGAATACCCATAAAGCCTGCCTCCAAAACAAAGTTTTTTTTTGGTGGTGGTGGGGGTGGGGTATAAGCTTCTAGAACCATTAGATCTGATATAGATATTAATGTGTGTAATATTAAGCAACTTATCAGAAAGCATTTATTTTTAAATTTGACCATATGGATGAGAGTCAGTATAGTAGGATGGTGYCACATTGAATATAATCATTTCATTTAAACATTTTAAGTAGCAATGCTCATACAAAACACAATACTGCTCAAAATGAGCTTGGATCTTCTAACCACAAACTCTTCCCACATCCCTACCCACAAGACACTACAGCTGTTCATGGGGAGATGTTTGCAATACAAGCTGGTAGTGTCTTGTGAGTTGGAGATCCGGAGTGACTCAAAACTTGTTCAATGCCTAGTCAGTAAAAGTACCAACCAAATAAGCTTCATGTCAAAATGCCTGAAATRGTAATGGTACCAAACACAACCTATGAAAGGCAATTTAAGAAGGTAATTCCATATGTGATYCTCAAAACCCCAAGTTGGATGAGAATGGTGTTTCAAGGATTGGTTCAATCTTTAGATCTTGATCTGTTTGCATTATTTACATGTATGGGAGCATTTGCATGGTTTTCATTGCCATGAGCCAATCTGTTGATGATATTGATATATTGCCTTGTAAATGGGATTCATACTTTGTTTCTTATCTGTTTAAACATTAATTCCTGWTGGTATTACTTGCAACAAGAGGGTTATTACCTGAGTCTCTGTCATAGGGTATGTGTATTTTGCTTCTGCCAGTAGTCGTTTGTGAATTGTAAGTAGGCTTCTTATGTGGGCCAGTTGTGCTTTAGCCTTTAGGTCATGGACTTTTTTCATTGTTATGGTTTGAGTTTGTG